AAATCCAGAATTGAATTCAAAATCCTGCTCCTCACATACAAGGTCTTAAATAATCAGGCCCCATCTTATCTTGATGACCTTGTAGTCATTATAGGGGGCGAGCATTTCTAATGAGAATTGGGTAGAAGAGGTTATAATTTAGATTTGTCTGGTCACTGGTTTTTGTTTGGCTGCAGGGGGAGGGGAGCAGCTGATCGGAGCAGCTGACAGAGCTCAAAGGGAGAAACGTGCACAATAAAAACAAAAGTTTTGCAAGCAGCCATTTCTGGGTCCTGCCGGGTCCTGTTATAGTTTGTTTGAAGTGAGATTAGTAATTTCAGAAGTGAGATTTAAACAATGACTCACAGTGACGCAAAGACACAGGAAATGCTCACAGTTAGATTTTCTCCTCTCTCCACATGCACTGTTCTATCAATCTGCTAAACTTAATATCTTTATTTAGTACTGGTAGAATCTGACTTTTTAAAAACATCTTCATTGTGCCTGGGTTGAAGAAATAATCATAATGCAGTCGTTATCCTCACATGTATCCTATAGAATAAAGAACTGTAAATCTGTAAAACTGTAAATAAATAAATAAATAAAACTAAATGAATGAAGTAAATTGAAGTAAAAGAAAATCTAAATTAGACAAATTATTCTAACTTTACTTGAATATTTATTGTATTAATTCGACCTCGAGAATGTCACGGTTCTGGGTCCGTTGGACCCAGTATTTTGAGTTTATTATATTTCGGTTTAATTCTGCTTCATGGATTGTTTTCTTATTCTGTGATGATAATTATTATTATTATTAGTTTCTTGTTTCTGTTTATCCGTGCTTAAGGATTTGTTCTCGGTTATATCTCACGTTTAGTTTAGTTCAGGTTCCATGTGTCATTCTGTCTGTCTCTCAGTGCTTGTTTAGTAATTCATGTTTCCTGTTTTATTGTGAAAGTCTTTGTCTTATGTTAGTGTGTGCAGCTTTGCTCCCCCTGTCTCGTTAGTCCAATTTCTCCCAGCTGTGTCTCCCTCCTGTTGCCCATTCCCTGATTACCACCCTGTGTATATTAGCCCTGTGTTTTCCTGTGCTCAGCGTTGCGTCGTACCCTCAGAATTATGCCTGTGTGTTCAGTTCTCAGTGTCATTGTTCAGTTCACGTTTTTGTTTATCACCAGCAATAAAGCTAAGGTTCTCAGTTTCAATTCAGTCTCAGAGTCTCGCATTTGGATCCTCCTCTCCATCCGCCTGCACACAGAGCCCTGACAGAGAACAAATCTTATGATAACAGTAGCGTAAGTATCTCTGCAGCGAGCCTCTGACACTCTGTCCTGACATGAGTCATGGATGATGGTGACGTGTTCATAATTAACAGCAGGGCTGTGGTGTGATCGTACAACTGGCTTTGTGCTGAGTTAGCTTTCACTGAGTCAGCTGGACACTGATTTCATTAATCTCATTAATCACTTCTGCCTGCTAACCTTTCTCCTCCTTCTCTCTCTGCTTAACCCCAACTACACTGTGCAACAGCATTTTCAAAGACTTCTTTTAATAGCTTAGTCAAGCTGTCAGAGGTGACGTCACTGTTCCCTTAAATTTTTCATTGTTTGTCATACCCATGGACCGCTCTGATCCCTCCTGTTGAAGAGAGTGATTAAAGACACGTCTGCACCTGTGAGTGAGCAGAGCCATCAGACTGGAGGGGACACCTCAGACAAGGAGGTGCAGGCAGAGTAATCTTTCCTGTCTTCTGCAGTTTATAATCTTTTATATCTAACGTTCACACTCAGGTGAACGCATCAGAAACAGCTCAGAGGTCAGGATCTTGCCCCTTCTAAAGTCTACTCTCTATACAGAAAAGCTTCCTGGTGCAAAACACTGTCTTCCCTTCTTAATTAATTCAGTTATCATAAATAAAACTGCTTGTTTTTAACTAATATTAATATAACAATAATAATTATCGTTAGTATTTCTGTAAAACCTCTTAGTTGTAAAATGTATTATTTTTTGCCTGTCCTGTTTTGATTCTTTTGCCATCAGAATTATTGTCTAAAGGTGAAGAAAGATGCCCAACGGATTTACTTTACCAAATGGACCATCCCAGCCTCACTGTATTGGTCTGTTTGATTCACCTTTTATTGCTTATTTTATTTTATTTTCACTTGCTCCACACGGGACAGACATGACTGGGAGAAAGAACAACAGCGGGTAAGAGGGACGGGGATAAAGGGCAAAAAACAAAAACCAACAAAACAAACAGACAAAAAATCCAAATATTGATCACCTGGATCACCTTTTGAGAAAGGAAAAAAGAGAAAACAAGGAAAAAATGAGAGCAACATAATAAACAACATCATCGCGATGATCTATGTGAATATGACAGTAAATACTAAATATTAAACATTATTGTGCAGCACATAAGATCAACAGAACACAGTGTGCTTTGAGGTAGGAGCCAAAAAAGGTGTAGTTTGTGGGTGTGATCACCCGTGTGTACACCTGTGAGCATGGACGCGCTTGTATTTTGTTTTTTTAAAAGGTTCCTTCATGTAATGATCTGCTAGAGGGTGTGGGGGGGCCACAGCCCCGTCCTCCAGGGTATGAAGCAGGTGTGGAGGAGATCAAAACTCCAGACATCCAGAGGCCCCCAGAACACAAGAGACCAAGGAAGACCAACAGAGGGGCAGCCGCGCCACTGTCCCAGAAAGAGCTGAGGAGAGTCCCAGATGAGGGCTCACTCAGCAGCCGCGGAGCAGAAGCCAGGGGGAGTTGCAGTGACGCGCCCGTGAGCTCCGCCGGCAGCCAGCCGTGCCTGAGTGACCGAGCCCCAGGCCGAGGGGCCGGGGGCACCCCACCTCCGAAGTGGCCCGAGCGAGCCCCAGGCTCCAGGCCCCGATAAGCGGCCGCCAAGGAGTGAGCCGGTGTGTACCATGTGTACACCGGCATGTGTGTTCTAAGGTGCATTTAAAACCCAGGAGGGCATGGAGCTACCTGCCAGAGAGCAGCAGGTAAGCGCATGGTCCCTCCTGCTAGCCCTCAATGTCTACGTGTATTTAACATTGAGAGGTGGGCAACGACACCAGGGGTGAGGTGTACACCCTGATGGACATCTGGATGCTGTGTAGCGTGCCCACCCCCAAGATCCTATATGTAGTGATGGGCAGATGAAGCCCCATGAAGCACTGAAGCTTTTCATCCAATTGGTTCACCCCAACGCAAAGCTTCATGAAGCTTCATTTGCTCTAGCAGGACACCTACTGGACGTAAAAATATTAGTTGGCATGAATTTGAAGAGTGTGGCCTTTTGCACACAGCCTGTAAATGTCAACAACAAAAGGAGTGTGTAAAACATGTATATTGTAGTGATGGCAGTATACTCTGTATATTTATAGTGGCAGTATGGGAAATGATTATTTGGAAATGCTTGAAATGGAAATGATCATTTACTGTGAGGTGAGGTGTGGGTGGGGTGTGGACAGTAGTTGTGCTTTTGTAACGTTGAGGTATGGACAGCTACACACTGAGGCTTTGAGCCTCAGTCCTGCCTGTTCACATTTTATTCTGTAAAAACTAAATTTTCACTGCTTTTATGACCTTTTTAGTGGGGAGAACATAGCTAGGATTTAATGATTTAACAAAGCTTTTGAATCCTTTGTCCTCCACAATGCTAAATGGCTGGGAGTCCTCAATCACCATGCTGACCAGGTCTTCATCTATTGGAGATTGTTCTCCTGAGGAAAGACAATAAAGACAAAGCACAAATATAAATATCACACACGTAACTTATTACAGTTGTATAATATTGTTATATCATTTAGTAACATTACTGCATGCTATATTATCATTGCATTTGATGGCTCACCTGGTCTTGCTCCACAATCGGTGTTCCCCTTATTCTCATGCAAAGCTCTGTAGTGCCTAAGCATGGATGAGGTGTTGTTGTTATATCCCAGCTCCCTGGCACATAGCAAACACTTCACCTTGTACAAAAGTCAAGACAGCTTAACATAAGTTTTATTGCACCATCAGTATCATGAAAATACATCTTCTGTAGAAATTTACATACCTTGTTGGGAGGAATAAAATCAAAATGTTCCCACACAGGGGAGGACATCCTCCTCTTCTTAGCTGGCTCCATTCTCTCCTGACTTTCTCTCCTCACTCTCATAAACCTCCAAACTGTCTCCAAACTCTCACTAACAACTCTCCATCAAACACCCACATTTTGATTGAAGTCTGAGGGTTTATATCGCTGTCATATCTCGCGGCAAAGTTCGAACAACTTCATGAACCAGTCACGTGGTACAGCCGGGCAGCGAGGCTTCGGACGTCATCATTTTCAGCTCCTCCCATAAATGAAGCAAGCCTCGATACGCGCTTCGCGGAAACGCCCCCTCCATTACTCGACACACGCTCCGAAGCCTCGATACAGAACGTCACATCACTACCTATATGTATGTGTTATGAGAGTGTGAGTAATGTGAGTGTCTAAGTTGTGGGATAAAGTTGAGGCACAGGAAGCCAGAAGGGGACAGAGGGGGGGATGCCTCCTCTGCACCCTGGTGAACCACCTTTACCCCAAGGCCCTGCATGTGTGGGTGATTGTGGTGGAGCGGGAAGAGGGAGGCAGCTGGAGATGGGGAGGGAAGGAAGGGAGGGGCAAGTGACCCCTTGTAAAATGTATTAAATGTCTTGTTGGTGTCAGTCAAATCAGATTAACAGATGCATGAAGCAGATTTTAAGCAGTTTTATCTCCTCAGTGTCACATCACAGCCTTGGTGTGTGTCTGTGTGTGTTCTGTTTGTTATGCCTCAGGTGTCAAGCAGTGGTTAAAGGTGTTTTTCTTTGTTTTTTCTTGTTAATAACTGTTTTTCATGCTTTGATTTTTGTCAGTGAATGTAGGTTTGTGATTAAAATTGAATTCTTATCACCTACTTTTTTTTACCCTTCATTCAGTGATATTTTTTCTACATTTAATTAGATTATCTAGAAAATAATTCAATACGGAGAGATTGTGTGGAAATACCAAACATGATTTATTAAAGACAAAAATAAAGTAAGCCATCTGTCAATTAACTATAATGACCCATCATAGAAGAAAGAATCCCAGCAGTGAAAGGAGTTAGGAGGTGGGTTGCATGACAGTGTCTGAAAGACACAAACTAGCAGCCGAAGAGCGAGGAAGCCTTCAAATGGGTTTCTAAATACTGTCCTAATTTAACTAATGCATAAGCTTAATTTTCTATATCATCAGAATATATCTGTATTACAGCTTTTTGTGTGTGACTTTGCATTAAAACTGGGACGTGTATGTAATTGTTGACATTCCAGACTCACAAAAACTGAAATAAACTAAAACTATCTTTTGAAAAATAACTAAAACAGGACAGAACTGGAAACCTGTTTTAACATAAAAGCAGCAAACACATAACCTATAATTACTTGTGGTGTGTATCATCTCAAAAGTGTAATGGTAGAGTTTATTCTGCATTATGGGCTGTAACACTGTATAATAATAATTTACAAATAAACAGGATAATCAATCAATCACAAAGCAACTGTTATCTACAGTAAGTAAAAACTGGTCTTTATCCTTTCATCATGTAACACGAGCTTTGTCCGCACCTGGACTCGAACCTGCGCTCTGATGGTTCCGTAAAAACTCCGTCTTTTTTTCATTGGATATAACGTAGCGATTTGATTGGTTGTTTCTGCGTTCCACCTATGAGTGATGGGCCGAGGTGTCAGCGTTTTTCTACCCGCTCTGGTGGCACGGAGCGAGGCTGGCTGTGGTGGATGTGCTGCGGGTCGAGTCGCTTTATACAGTATGGAGCCGCCCGACTTCGAAAGCATGAATTTTACGGTGGCGCCGGAGGTGTCTGCCTACCCGGTGTGCAAAGAGTGGAAAGAGGGTGCGGAAGGATCGGTGTTCCATCTCGCCAACATCTTTCTGTTCCTTGGCTTCATGGGGGGCAGTGGCTTTTACGGACTCTTCTACCTGTTCACCTTTCTCACTCTGGGCTTCTTCTGCTCCACTCTCTGGTCGTGGTCGGACTCCTGCACCACGGACTCTTTTCTGTGGAGTTTGGCGATCTTCGCGGTGTGTCTGGTACAAGTCCTGCACATGTCATACAGGCTGAGGAGCTTTTCGTTTGACAAGGACTTCCAGGAGCTGTATAGCTGCATGTTTAAAAGAGTCGGAGTGTCATTGTCCCATTTTGGGAAGATAGTGGCCTGCTGTGACGGGGAAGTCCAAACTTTAGAGAAGGACCGCTGCTTCGCCGTAGAAGGAAAAACCGCTATTGACAAGCTGTCAGTGCTGCTCTCCGGAAGGTGATTGCGCACACACGCTTGAACAGCTCAGTGTCAAACATGGTACACCCCAACATAGAGTTTAGCACAGTCATGCCCCTATTGATATTAGAACAAAGGGTGTGTTTTCTAGATACTCTTTGTCATGTGAAAGTCTTACTGACAGACTCCAAATGTTTATCTGGGTCAGGGTTACTGGGACTGATCAGGATTGGCTCATGAGCTAAAAGGTTCATTATTGTAATCTGCATTTCTAGTTCACTCTTTACCTGAGGAGTCTTTGCAGCTTTGACCGCGTAGCTTTGTTTGTTTGTTTGTTTGTTTGTTTGTTTGTTTGACCAGGCTTTAACCACAACAGCTCCATGTGTCTAAATTATGCGCAAGTAAAATGAGCACATGGTAAATTAGTATAGCTTTCAAGAGCCTAGATTTAAACATGCTTTTCATAACCACATGTCCTTGGGGAGTAAAGGCTGAATAGATTACACTGTAATGATTTGCTTTTCACTCATCTATGGACAGCAGCTTATTGAACAGTTAAATGTTTTTCTGCGGTTACTGTGAAAGCACTCGCATTAGGTGACTGATTACCTTAATGATTAGTCTACTAGTATTTTCATGTAAAGTCAATGCATTTTCATCAGTTTTTGTGCTTTATTACTTTTGTAGCTAAAAATGTACTGGAGTAATAGTTTGTACAAAATGTAGCCTAGTGCACAAACGCACATTGCAGAATTTATCATGAAATCAGTTTTACACGTATTAGAATATATGTAATATATGTAGTAGAGTGCTCTGAGGCAGTGGATGCTGCCTGTGAACTTACATTTTCAGATATTTGTTCTGAGAAAGTGAGGCAGAACACCACCACAAATTTTGGATGTTACTATGATGGAAAGAAGTAGAATTGGTCCTAGCACAGAACCCTGTGGAACTCCATAATTAACCTCAGTGTGTGAAACAGCACTACTCACACGTCTCTGAGTCCAGACGCTAAAAGGCAAGGAGCACTTGCTGCTGGAGCTATTTATGAAGTTCTGCATCACTGAGAGAGCAGCTCTCTTTTAGAGAGGCTAAAAGGTCATCGAAGGTAACAGGCTCACTGCACTGAATGGAGACGGGGTGGTTCATGTATATGTTAGTTTGGTCACAGCATGTCTCTGTGGCTTCACTTTGTTTTTAAACAAATTGACTTAGTGTGGAGTGAAGTGTTTGCCCACTTCCTGATTTCCTGGTGTTTTGCATATTTGTCACACTTACATGGTTCAGATCATCAATTGATATGAGACAAAGATAACCCAAATAAATATAAAATGCACTTTTTAAATGATGATTTCATTGATTAGAGGAGAAAAGTTATCCAAACCTACCTGGTCCTGTGTGAAAAAGTAATTGCCCCTCTTGGTAAATCATTGATTAACTGTGATTAACCACATTTTCTTTGGAGAGCTGTGTTCAGTTTCACTAAACACACTCAGGCCTGATTACTGGAAGATCTGTTGAATCAAGAAATCACTTGAACAGAACCTGTTAGACAAAGTTAAGGAAGGCTAAAAGATCTCAAGAAGGAACACATCATGCCATCTAAAGAAAAACTTGAGAAAAAAATCACTGATATCCATCAGTATGTTAAGTGTTACAAAGGCATTTCCAAGGCTTGGGACTCCAGTGAAACACAGTGAGAGCCATTATACACAAATGGAGAAAACATGGAACAGTGATTAGCCTTCCCAAAATTACTCCAAGAGCATGTCGAAGTCTCATCCAGGAGGTGACAGAAGAACCCAGAACGGCATTAAAGAACCACAGGCTTCACATTTCTCAGTTAAGGTCAGAGTTCATGATTTAGAGACTGGGCAAAAACAGGATCCATGGGAGAGTTCACCAAACAAAAACCATTGCTGACCCAAAAGAACACAAAGGCTTGTCTCACATTTGCCAAAACAAACATCTTGATTGACCCCAAGACATCTGTGAAAGTATTCTGTGGACCGATTCAACTATTTGGAATGTTTGAGTACCGTTACATCTGCCATAAAACTAACACAGCCTTTCAGAAAAGGAACAGTCCTCAATTACTGAATGGTTGGAAGTGATGCAAATTATATAATGTGGGCTTTGTAGTTACCAGATCTTAAACTAAAAAAAACACCATTATGAAATTAACCAACAGTAAAATATGGTGGTGGCAGTGGGATGATCTGGGGCTGTTTTGCTGCCTCAGGACCTGGAAGACTTGGAACCATGAATTTTTCTACCAAAATATCACGAAGGAGAGTGTCCGGTCCGGTTTGTGATCTCAAGCTGAAGCACACTTGGGTTCTGCAGCAGGAAAATGATCCAAAACACAACAGCAAGTCCACCTCTGGCTTAAGAAAAACAAGATGAAGACTTTGGAGTGGACTATTCAAAGTCCTGACCTGTTATTAACCTCTGTCTCTCTTCCACAGCATGTCTTTATCCTGTCTTCCTTCTCTCACCCCAACCAATCACAGCAGATGGCCCCGCCCCTCCCTGAGCCTGGTTCTGCTGGAGGTTTCTTCCTGTTAAAAGGGAGTTTTTCCTTCCCACTGTCGCCAAAGTGCTTCCTCATAGGGGGTCATGTGATTGTCGGGTTTTTCTCTGTATGTATTATTGTAGGGTCTACCTTACAATATAAAGCATCTTGAGGTGACTGTTGTGATTTGGCGCTGTGTAAATAAAATTGAAACTGAATCTGATTGAGATGCTGTGACATTTAAAAGGCAGTTTATGCTTGAAAAGCCTCCAGTAAAAGACTCATTGCCAGTTATCGCCAACACTTGAGAGCAGTTGTTGCTGCTGAGGGTGGCCCAACCAGTTTTTAGATTTATGGGTACTTATGAGCCTTGGAGATTTGGATCTGTTTTCCCTTCAATAATAAACACCTTCATTTAGAAACTGCATTTTGTGTTTTAAGCCTGGTCTAATATTTAAAATAGTTTGATCATCTAAAACATTTAAGTGTGACAAACAAACAAAAAATAGGAAATCAAGAAGGGGGCTGTATGCTCCAGGCCACTATTATTTTAAGCTGCCTGCATGCAAGTGACTTCTCATCTATATATTATAGTGAGGATGACGTCACTTAATGCTGCAAATGACATTTTCTGTTGAAAGTAGAAAACTTAGAGAACAGACAGAGCCGGAGCTAAAAATTGTCTGTTGCCTGTTTTATTTTCTCGCTGAAAGCAGACGCGATTTATTGGGATATTTTAATGATTTTACAGCTCAGTGTGCCACTCTGCAGCAGGTACACCACCTGTTAAAACTGGGGCACCAAAGCCTCATTTAGTCGTGGTCACGTGATCTGGGTGTTTTTAACCACGTTTCAGAGCAGTGTTTTGAAACATCTGCACTCGGGAAGCTCGACACAGTGTTGAAATGTCTGTTTTGAACTTCCCATCTTCTGCTGCTCAACCCAAAGATGCATTTGCATTACAAATATGGCACAATTTAAGGGGAAATAAAGAGTATAAGATTACCAAGAAGCATTTTTACAACAAAGAAATACCAAACACAAATTTCCTTACTTTTTGTGCTAAGTTTAGAAATCGGAGAGGGAAAAGGTCAATTCAGAACTTGCTGGGGAATTCTCAGAATTTTACATTTTCTGTCTTTTATTTATGAAAAACAGGATAACAAGTGAACAAGACATCTCCACGATAAGAGCAAAACAGCACAGACAGCAGGACAATCATTGGACCAGGGGGAAATAGGAATGGGTGTAAGGTGAAAAATGTGTAAGGAATTTTAATCTTAAGTGTCAAAATAAAGGAAAGAACAATATAAATGCTAATAGTTACAGTAATTGAACACACATGTGTTGGTGCCCAGTTTGTGTGTCACTGTGCTCCGATTGCCACAACGAACACTGTAACCCTTTCACCTTCTACCTCTTCTCTAGCTCCTCTCTCATCCTTGCTATTTCTCCCGCTTCTCATCTTTTTTCTTCTTGACGTCACTATCACTTGATATAGCTACATCACTTCCTGTTCATCTGTCTGCATCTGGAAGTCCCACAGGATCTTCGCTTGGTCATTCTCAACCTCCGTAGGAGCCGTATCCCATTTTGACCTTGGAATTTCCGTGCTATACTTAGCACAGATATTTTTATATACTATACCAACTACTTGGTTATGGCGTACTCAGAGCTTGTTTCTGAGCTGCCATAATTAGTGCCTCTGTGCTGTCTTTCAGTGCAGCTTTGCCGTGCAGGGGCCTGTCCTTCCATCATGGTTCCTCTTCTTTCTGTTGCCTTAGGTATTCACTAAACATACCATCAGTTGTGGCCAGGCTATTATCCCAGCAGGGTATCTGACGCCCGGCAGGGCATAGGTGTTGATTGCCTGGATCAACATCCATGCCCAGCTGACTCCTCGGGACTTGCCTTACTCTGCAGGTATTTGGTGGTTGCAGCTTTCGTAGTCCATGGTCCCATTTGCCTGTGGGATTCTGAGGCATTTGTAGCTGTCCTGCAATGTGGTCCTCTGGCTGTGCATTTAACTCAGTTCTTACTACCTTCCCTCTTTGTTACCATCTTACTACACTTCTCTGGTCTGAATGACATGCCCATGTTCTTGTTCACTCCTGGCATACAGCTCAATGTCATCCGTGTAGAGGAGGCGGCAAACGATTGGTCCATAGTTGTACCGTTTTCATTGAAATTTCATTGCAAGTATTCCAAAAAAAAAAAGTTTATTTCTGATATTAAAATGTCCTGGGGGCATGTGGTTGCCTGATCACCCTGTGTGATAAAATTACACACATGAAAAAAACATGTTGCACACTTATGTAGTAGTACAACACTACCATTACAGAATGTTTTAGGTTGTTTTAGTTAATAACTTTATCTTTAGTGTCTACTGTTGTGAACTTGACCTATTAAAATCAACTCTTGCTCCATTGTCCAACAGAATCCGTGTGACAGTTAATGGAGAGTTTCTGCATTACATCTACCCTTTCCAGTTTCTGGATTCACCAGAATGGGACTCTCTGCAGCCATCGGAGGAGGGCGTATTCCAGGTTCATTTTGTTGTAATCCAAGCTACACATTAAATACTGTGTGTGTGTCTGTGTGTGAGTGTGTGATGCACAAATCACACATCCACGAATACATAAGGAAGATGGCTCCAACTGGCGTATCGCTACATCGATCACTACGGCCGTCTTCTTCTGTTTGTCTACCACCACTATGTCCGGTTGGTTAGCCACCACCATTTTGTCCGTCTGTATCTGGAAGTCCCACAGGATCTTAGCTCGGTCATTCTCCACCACCTTAGTGGGCGTCTCCCATTTTGACCTCGGCACTTCCAGGTTATACTCGGCACAGATGTTCCTGTATACTTGGCCACTTGGTTATGGCTGGGTGTGGGTTTAAAACATTGATTTTCTGATTAAAATTGGTTTTAGTTTTAATAAAGTGATATCGATTCCTTATATCCTGAATCGATTTTTAAATATAAATGTATTTTGCCAGAAATGCCAGAATCTCATGTTAAAGCTCACAAAACTATTTTAACAACCACCAAACAGCTAAAACAGCAAATGAGAGCAGGTGAACGGATTCTGCAAAAAGATGTAAACACAAAGCGTGTGTCGTCACCCCGCGTCCACAGACACACCGTCGGGGCTGAAAGCCGACACCTCACAGATTCTGGTGCTGCAGGTTTCATCACTCTGACCAAAATTCACTGAACCAGCAGCAAAGGAAAATCCAAACTATGCTTAACAAACAAATAGATATCATCATTAATTCAGTCTGACTTTGGCTGTTTTGTTTCCACATCGATAAAAATCACTCTCTCTCTCAGTGTACTTCAAGGACAGTTTCCCATCTCAAATCTCTGTTTTCTGGATTATTTGCTTGCTTATTACGCACCAGTCTACGTACAGCGCTGTCAGCTGCTGTTTTTTGGGGGGGTTTTAAGCGACCTCTGACAAGAAAGCCTCATTTCTGCTGTTCAATACAGAAGAAATTTTAACTTTTTAAAATTATGCCAAATTGCATAACGCTTGGCTGTGTCTCTAATAAAGCTTATTTTCTTCAGTTGTTGATCTACGGCAGAATATTTTAAGGTTATCTGCTATAAAAAGCCAGGCCGGGAAAATCTCCTTCATGTTTTTCTGTGTTTTATTCTCAGTTACTTTCACACAAAGGCTCCTCTGATGAAGTCCTACAAGTGTCAGCTTTGTTTTTATACGTAGATATAAAAATGTGCACATGTACTGATAAATGATAAAAGAATTATGTTTCTGACTGCCTGAGAAAAAATTGAATCAAATCAAATCGGTGATTGAATCAAATCCATCCATCCATCTTCTTCCGCCTATCCGGTGCAGGGTTGCGGGGGCAGCAGCCTAAGCAGAGAAGCCCAGACCTCCCTGTCCCCAGCCACCTCCTCCAGCTGGCCTGGCCCAGCTGAGAGATATAATCTCTCCAGCGTGTCCTGGGTCTGCCCCGGGGCCTCCTCCGGGCCGCCATCCCTCCCGGATGGCTGAACTCCTCACACTAGCTCACACTAGCTCTCTAAGGGAGAGGCCAGCCACTCTTCAGAGGAAGCTCATTTCTGCCGGTCACTACCCACAGCTCGTGACCATAGGTGGGGGTAGGGACGTAGATCGACCGGTAAAATGAGAGCTTCGCTTTTACGCTCAACTCTCTCTTCACCACGACGGACTGGTGCAGCGTCCGAATCACTGCAGCCGCAGCACCGTCTGTTGATCTCCCGCTCCCTTCTCCCGTCACTCGTGAACACGACCCTGAGATACTTAAATTCTTCCACTCGGGTCAGGAACTCGTCCCTGACTGGGAGTGGGCACTCCACCCTTTTCCGGCTGAGGACCATGGCCTCAGATTTAGAAGTGCTGATTCTCATTTCCACCGCTTCACATTTGGCTGCGAACCGTTCCAGTGCCAGCTGGAGGCCTTCACCCGATGAAGCCAACAGAACCACAACATCCGCGAAAAGCAGAGATGAGATCCTGAGACCACCCAGGTGAAAGCCTTCCACCACTTGGCCTAGAAATCCTGTCCGTAAAATTTACGAACAGAATCAGTGACAAAGGGCAGCCATGGCGGAGCCCATCACCCAGCAGGAACGAGTCTGACTTGTTGCCGGCAATGCGAACCAAGCTCTTGCAATGGTTTTATAGGGATTGAATAGTCCGTCACAATGGGCTAATCACCCCATACTCCCGGAGCACCCCCCACAGGACCCTCAGATGGACACGGTCGAATACCTTTTACAATAATAATAATAATAATATATTGGATTTATATAGCACTTTTCAAGGCACCCAAAGCACTTTACAATGCCACTATTCATTCACTGGTGGAGGCAGCTACGGTTGTAGCCACAGCTGCCCTGAGGCAGACTGACAGAAGCCAGGCTGCCATATCGCGCCATCGGTCCCTCTGGCCAACACCAGTAGGCGGTAGGGTAAAGTGTCTTGCCCAAGGACACAACGACCAGGACAGAGAGCCCAGGGATCGAACCGGCGACCTTCCGGTTACAGATGCGATTCCCAACCCCCTGAGCCATGGTCGCCCCTTTTACAAGTCCACAAAACACATGGAGCAGTGTCCTGCATGGAGAAGGACACTAGAGGCTGAGATTAAGAGATCATGGAGGAAAGTTAGCCAACTGAGAGCCCCAAACGAGAGGTCATCCAGCAGCCACGGAGCAGAGACCAGAGGGGGTTGCAGTAACGTGCCCGCTGGCTCTGCCGGCAGCTAGCTGTGCCAGAGAGGACCGGGCCTCAGGCCCAGAGGCCTGAGGGCACCCACCCCCCTGGAAGGGGCCCAGCCAGGCCACAGGCGCCAGGCCCCACCAATTGGCCACCAGGAGTGAGCCGGTACATACTTGAGCGCCCAGCCCCAGACACCAAGAACCACCAACACACCAACGTCTGAAGGCATCGGCCACTGGCAGGGAGTGTGGTGAGGGGAGATAAGCCTCCATACCTCAGAGAGCCTGAGATGTTCCCAGAGAGGTGGAGTCTAAGACCCGACCTGACATATAGATACAGACGAGCAGGCGCACGCAGACACAAACGTGCATTCCCACCCCCATATACACAAACGAATGCTCGGCACTCACCCTGTAGCTGTTGGCATGATGACATTGTATATAATTTGGATTATTTCTTTATCTTGTCAAGATCCGTGTCATCATTGTAAATTGTTTAAGCTGCACATTACTTTGTTTGTTATTTTATTTAGTCAAATTTACTATTTGACAATTTACTTTAGTCAAAGTTTTGGTGCTTTTATTTTGAAATTCAAGCTTGCTTACAAGTTGCGCTAGTTTCCTCTTTGGGTAGAAAGAAGGAGAAAACACCTGTAAGTGCAGAAAGAATGTTTTTTTTAATTATAAGTTATGTTAAGAGGACATTAACTACACACGGTTAAACTGGTAAAGGAAACCTCAGAAGAACCTCAGAAAACCACTTGCATCTGCCTGTGCTTCCAGGGAATCATACACCCGACGTGGAGACAGACACAAATAGGCACTGTACACACAATCACACTCCCCAAACACACTCTATAGGGGCAAACCGTACCCAGACCCAGCAGATGTAACCCTTCTCTCTGGGGTGGAGGAAAGCAGACCGCCTCCTTATCTGCAGTAGCAGGGAGGCCCCGCACCCCAGACCCCAATCTGACGGCCAGCACCTCCTCTCAGCCCCCCAGCCCTGACGGCTAACAGAACGGGGGTGAGTGAGGCTCAGTGTCTAAACGAGTCTCACAGGCCTGAATGCGCGCTTAAAGCCTTTTATGGTTCTTGTTTGATCTGCTGCTCACCACTAACAAGCACAAGCATACGTTTTGGACTTTTCTGTAATTTTGCACATTTATTTGTTACAATTTAATTCCAAAGACTTGTGATGACAGATTTCTTTCTTTGTCACAACAGCTTTTTCTTTATCATGCAGAAAAACAACAAAAATGTTGTATTGAGGTTAAACAAAGTTTAACTTGTTTTGTGGTTTATTCTCAGGTGACGCTGCGTGCTGATAACCCCTGCCGGTACGTAGCGTGGAGGAGGAAAAAGCTCTACCTGCTCTTTGCTAAGCATCGCTACATAGCCAAGATCTTTGCCCTGGTTGTACGCAATGACATAGCAGAAAAGCTGTATTCACTCAGTGACAAGACTTTTGACAGATACGGACACCGCTACGATCTCCGCTTACCATGTTACCCTCACATGCCGGGGACTGAAATAGAAAGGGCTGATGACCATCTGCAAGTGCCGGTGCAGAGCAGGGGGGCTCCGTAAACATACACACATGCACATTCTTCATGCGCTAAATCGCAGTGCGTGGAAGTCAGTGTCAGTCAGGCTGCAGACATGTTTGCAGACAGGTAGACCGTATACCTGAGCATGAAAACAGTCTGTAGTGTTGTTACTCACAGGGCCATAATTTATGGGGCAATGAAACTTTTGAAACTTGCTTCGGATTTTAAATCAAACGATCAAGATCTGTTAGAAGTGCAGAATTTATCTTTATTTTAAGGGGTTTAGCAAAATGATTGCATTATATGACTTATACACACTTTTATACAGTTATAGCGGCGCCAAAGAGAATGGACAGTAAATTAAATTATGGACAGTAAAAATGTAGCAGATCTAAAACTCTGGATTTGATTCTAAGTGTTGAAGTTTGGAGAGTTAATGCAAAGAGAGACAGATGAAGGATGACATCATCAGGCTGCAAAGCCAACAGAAGCCCGTCAGAGAGGAACAACTTTAAGAGTGGCAAATCAACAATCGTGGACATTTTTAAGAAGGATGCATTGGCCAGCTCAGCAGTAACTGAAGGCCTGGACAGCAACTAAAAGGAATAAATTCTTTCTGGGTTTTGGGGGGTTGTTGGGTGCTGGGGTCCTGATCTTTGAGACTTTTCACTCTCATTGTTAAGTGCATTTTGTGACAAACGCACATACTCAGACAAAACACAGAAAACACAAGATTGCTGGTTTGTGTATCCATTTTTTCCTTGTAGGCGCTGCTTGTTTTTTATTGTTTTGTCTTACAGGTGCAGCAGTTGGAGACTCATTGTTCTTCTGTCACAGGACAGCAGACGTCTTAAATTCATATGATATTGACGGATTAGATCAATATGTGTTGTCAGTGGTACACTGACTGATGTTGTTCTGTGACAATAAATGATTTTACTGTGTAGATGCCAAACACAAACTTAATCAGTTTTCTAAGCACATGAGTCTGGAGTTCATTTTGTCAGTATGTTAGGAAGTCTAATGTATAAATATATTTTCAGCCTTAATGCCTCTGAAAGTGAAGTTACTGCGGGTTTGTCAACCAAACGCTTCGACAAAGATCCACACACCCAGCAGAGTCATTCAGATGCTGGTGCAGTCTCACTGCTTGTGTTGAAAAAGTTCACATATAAGAGTATTAATAAAGTATGAATAACAGAGGGTCGTTTTGTGTGATTGGATCCATTGAGGAGAAGAGAAGGATGATCCGAGCAATTCTGACGATTTTGGAGAGAAGAAGCAAATTTTCTTAAGAACTTCTGCTGAAAGTTAACCTTTGATCTGTCGCCCCCTGTCGGAGCTCTTGGGCACTGCTCTCGCCTTGTTCCCCTTTTAGCGTTTTCCTGTCAGCTGTGTGGAATGTGAGACGCACACAGCATCAGAGGCTCCAGCTATCCGGCCGCTTTCCCCTCTCACTGCTGTCCAGAGCTCCTCCGGCTGCTCCTCTGATCGGTAAGTGAAGAAGTCCTCACTTTTACGGGCTTTTAAGTTGAACCTAAGAAATTCCAGCGCAGCTGCGCAATGTCTATTTCTACATGTGAGCTCTGCGCGTGCTACAGCTGCTGTACAGAAATATTCACTGGCGTCCACATTTACAGTCAGATGTTGATAAAAGAGCTTCTTTACCATGAGCTGTAACGCGTTGTGTAATCTGACTACTGCTGCGTAGACTGTAAGCTGTACTTTCCCACCGGCGTTGAAAAGACAGAAACATGAATTCATTCATGACTGCAAATATGCAGCTGTGTATGTGTGCGAGTCTTCTTCAATGACAAACATGACGGAGCTCAGCTAGACCCAGTGTAGGAGCTCACTGTTGCGTTCACTAATGAATAAAAACGAGAGGGACCGTTTCTGTCGCGAACCTAAACTTAGCATCAGTAGAGTGACTGTATGACTTAATGAAGGGCAGCTGGGTTTCAAACAAACCGAATTCTAAAATAAACGTGTCAGGGGAGATTTGTGACAGAAGGATCGCAGGAAGGCTCCGAAACCAGTGAAACCAGCTCTGACGTATGGTGTGGACACTGTGGGACCAATTAAAACCACAGGAAGCTGACCTGGAAGTGGCAGTGGGAAGATAAGATTTTTGTTGGGAGGGACCAGAAAGGATAAAATTAGAAATGAGTATAGGACAGCATATATGAATAACAAGCAGAGAACTAGTTTCACTTTAAAGCCGAGTCTGGTCCACCTTTGTTGTCCTGGAGTGAAAACAGATGACAGTTAATTATGCACGTATTTGAAACCATCTACTTTACTCTCAGATGAAATTTCGAAATGGAGATTTTGTCAGGTCCTGACATCTAAAAGACCCTTCAGTTCATAGAAGTAATAAAAGAATAAAAGCTGTTATTATTATCATGTCTGGTTTTTCCTCCTGGTCATTCCCACAGTTTCAATGGGAAACTAACCTGTAAGAACACTGGTTTGGTTCAGTTCGAGATGTTGTCCTCAAATTATTTTTGGAGGGCAAATGTTCACCGGTGTAACTGACATTCTCGTTTGGTTTAATGTTGCATTGAACAATGTTTAGTGGATGAATGGGAGCAAAATGAGAAGTGTTTTGTCTACATGGAGGAAAATGTTCTAGTATTCGTCTGCCTGTGAAACGCAGCAAACATCATGGTAAGTATTAACGTGCCATCCTGGAGGAAGGGGACTCGCTATGCTGCTGCCATACGTGACACTGACCCCAGCCAAATGCTAAACCAGTGAAACTACAGTTGGAATATATTTAAAGCCCTTCCTATTTTGGAGCGCGTCTCATTGTTGCCTGCTGTTAATTCCAGTAACACCAAAGCAGCTGAAGTTCACTAACAACCCACTTCACTCCCCAGATCAGTTTAGCAGACTCGATGCTGTACTCTGATTAAAAGTGTTCCTTACATTGTTTGAGAAGTATATTAACATACAAGTACCTTAAAATATTAGAAGCAAAGTACTTGAATAAGTATACTTAGTTACCTTTCACAGCTGTGTAGTTTGTATGCTTTGAACAACCATCCTCCCACATTCACTTGTGCTCGCCTTACTCCAGTGTCCAAGGTGCCTAGCCAAAGGATGTCCTCCACCCCAGATGGGCCCACCCTCCTGCTCACCACGCTGTCCTCCTTCCCTTCTTCCATCCCGGCCGCCACGTCTGCAGATTCAAATGCCACCTCGTGCCAGGAGTGGGAGCAGACCCACCACCTGCTATTCCATGTGGGAAACCTGTCCCTGCTGTTGGGCCTGGCCATCCCGACTACCTTGGCTCTGCACATGATCACGCTGCGCCTCCTCCTGACAACAGGTCAGTTCACAGCTCGTTCCCGTGATGGGATCCAGAAGCAATGTAGTGGGGAAGATTTAAGGAACATAAAGTTATCACATCGTAAGCAGATGCGTATTCTGAGTAAAAGCTGCCCGTGCGTTAGTAAACTTCTACCAGGACAGGCTTGTTGACAGTTGACTGTAACGCTGGCATTTTAAAGATTTATTGGAAACTGTTCTGCACAAACAGGGGAGACCCTAAAAGGCTGTGACAGTGGGAGATAAAAGCAGGATGGAAAAAGCACTTCCAACATGTTTATCTTTGCTTGGCAAGAGAATGGAGACAGGAAGCAGCAGGACTTATTGAGGCTGTGGTTGTAATGTTGACAGCTCCGTTATTTATGCTGCTATTTTAGAGCAAGTCAAGTTTCAGTCTCTCAGAGAGCGAGTAAAGGAGAGTGCTGAAATGTGTAAGGCAGCAGTTTTGGTGGTTTTATCATAAGACTGGATGGGTAATCATTATATAACACCGAGTAAGACATTTATTCATGTATCCAGACGAGCACATTTCTAAATAATTGTCATGATGTCTAAAATCAAAATATGTGAATGCAATGATTATGAATTTGTGAGCGATACAAAAGTAAAGTTTTGGACAATACTCCCATATATGAGCTTAGAAACAGAGCAGTGTGTGGCTCAGCGTTGTCCCGTAAGTTTCCCATAGAGCGATTTATTTTAAACCTACTACATTTATGGAACAATTAGACTACCTCGCTTGTTTGTCTCACTGCCCAAAGCTTTATTATTGTTTTGCTGGCAAATTCAGATTCTGAAGTTCGAAATGTGCAAAAGATAAGTGAACAGAAGAAATAAACTGGGAGGAAATCATAAATGAATGGTGGGGTGGCTCAAGACTTTTGCACAGTAGTGTACATTAAAGTAATTTCTGATATTACAACCATACCAGATAATTTCTCCAAGATAAGATGAAGTGTTTCTTGTCTCAGCGTGGTGTGTAATCAAGTGCAGTGTGTAAGTCAGGTTGTTCTTGCAGGATGTGGTTTATTCATCGCGTGGGCCACGCTGTTCAGGTGCAACATGGATCTAATGGTGTGGAACGTGGTCTTCCTGGTGATCAACTTCGTGCACCTTTTCTACCTTTTGTATAAACGCAGGCCGGTGAGTTCAGCATCAACATCACTCACATTATACAAGATCATTGCAGGCCGCCCACGTGTGCTCATCAGAGGAGCAGTGGAGCTTCTAGCTAATAAATATGGGTTCAGTTCTGTTTCGTGGTAACACAATGCGATTATGTCTGCAGCAGCACACACCTACACTTTGGAGCAGCAGACAGGAGGAGCAACAAAGTGCAGCCGTAGTTGTTTTTTCATCAGAGAATTAAAGCCTTTCATTCATTAAAGTTCAAAAAACATTTTTATAACTTTTATAAAAAACATTTTCTCTCGAGTTACTTTGATTGTCTTAATAAGTGACTTGACATAAAGGACTATTTTTATTTCTTTCATCCTTTAATTAACCAGGAAAGTACGAATAAAGCTTTTTTCATAGTGTCAGTGTCTGAAGTGTTTCTGAAATATATCTGGAGGACAAATTACAGCTGTTCTGGAAACTTGCCAGAGGTGTTTTTGTCTTCGGTGCAAACGAGACACGACTCGAGTGTACAAACTGTGGAGGCAACAGAATCATCCTGGTTATTCATGCGCTGGTTCCCTTTTCTTAAATGGTCAAACTCTCTGTGTGTGAGGTTTTTTGAAACACTTTTGTGACTATTTACTCTTTATTCTCTTTATTTGTAGTACAACAGTTTTAAAATGTATCCACACAAAGTAGCTAAACAAACATAGTAAATATGCAGAATGCCCCATTTAAGAACAATATGCATCATGTTGTTGATTCATTAACTTGTGAATTCATATAATTCGTGTATACTTATTATTTTCTATACCATAATTTATAAATGGCTCGTGTCATTATCCCAACTAGGCCTGTGCTTCAGTGCGCTGGGCTACACTGACTGTGGACGAATGCTCAGGTCAGACTAACCGTCTCAAACTGTTGCTGTCAGATTAAGATTGACAGGGAGCTGCGGTCAGTCTACAAGAGGATGTTTGAGCCTCTGCATGTGCAGGAGGCTTTGTTCCAGCGACTCACGGGACAGTTCTGCACCATTCAGACGCTGAAGAAAGGCCAGGCCTACGCTGCTGAGGACAAGACGTCTGTAGACGAACGCCTCAGCATTCTGCTCAAAGGAAAGTATGTGCTGTTTGTTTCCCTAATGAAAGTCACATAGGTCTGACTAGTACACACGATTAAGGTTATTATTTTAACGCCGTGCTTTTCTGATTTAGTTGGTCAGAATTTTGAATTTCATTTTTTTTGTGTGCGATAGGATGAAAGTTTCATACCGAGGCCACTTTCTGCACAACATCTATACCAACGCATTCATTGACTCTCCAGAGTTCAGGTCCACTGAGATGCACCGAGGAGAGAAGTTTCAGGTAAATTCACTTGCATGGAAGCTCTGACATAAAGGATGGACATCGTTTGCAGGGCCGATTTCCTTCTCTGGCTGTAAAAACATGTCTGACTTTGCAGAACATGAATATTCAATAAAGATTTAAGGAGGTCAAATTTCTTTAAACAGAGCTCTGGAACATCATAAAGTTTCACATGCATGGTAATTCAATGTAGCATATTTTTGAAGTACTAATAATAATAATAATAATAATAATACTAAACATAGTAAAATAAATGTTCTTTTGCATTCAGAAATAACAAAAAGCTTTTGAGAAAGTTGTCATAAAATAAAGCGCTTAATTCAAAAACTTGTGGAAAGGTATCATTTGACTTTCCCGTCTTCTTTTTTCCTTAACTACACTTCA